TTTTTCAAATACTTACCAGAAAGTTCAACATTAAATAATATTGTTGCTTTATGTATGAAGTGTTCCCCTCAAAAAGAAGTAAAGGGGTATCATAATTGCTCATCTAACTTTCTAAGCCATTTGAAAAGGAAACATGGCGAAGATTGTATCGAGGAATATAAAAATTACGTCAAAAAGAAGAAAACTGAAAAGAGAAACAACGAGACTAGTAGCGGCAGAGTGTCTACAACTGTGAAAGTGAAAAAACAAACAGTTACATTGACACAAGAGCAATTTGATGAAAATATTGTTAAATACTTCATCCATTCTATGATATCATTGAGAGCTATAGAAGATCCTTATTTTCTGAATATTTTTAAAGATTTAAATTTATCGAACATTGGCCTCAAAATAATGAGCCGACGAACTTTGGGACGTCGTATAAAAAATTATTATACAAGTGAAATCGCAAACATAAAGTCTATATTACATGAGACTGATTATGTTTGTACTACAGTAGACATCTGGTCTGGTCGGAAACGGAGTTTTATTGGAGTTACAGCGCATTGGATTACTAAGGATTTGTGCAGGATGTCAATAGCATTAGCTTGTCGCAGATTCAGAGGCACGCATAGTTATGATCGCATATCTGAACTAGTACAAGAAATCAATTCTGAATTTAATCTCACTGTTAACAAGATTGTTGCTACTGTAACTGATAATGGCAGCAATTTTGTCAAAGCATTCAAGATGTTTGGAGTAAAATTAACTAATATTAAGATGGTTGACGATTGCGATGAAGATGGACTCGACGCGATTTTATCTGATTCTGAGGATTTTGAAGAAGAAGAAAACGCTGATTCTTCAATTGTAGATGACTCGGACCTCTACACTGTAGAAAATTATTTACTACCATCACATTTAAGATGCTGTGCACATACACTCAGTTTATGTGCAACTACTGACGCAAATAAAGTATTAAATATACAAAATACTCAGTTGTCAAATATTCATAATTGTGTAATGAAGAAATGTAATGCTTTGTGGAAAGCGGTGGGACGCCCTAAGTCGGCAGAAATAGTACAAAATGTTTTAGAGCATTCTTTGAGCCGGCCTGGTCAAACTAGATGGAATAGTTTGTTTGATTCATTACAACAAATTTTCTCAATCAAAGAAAACAATCTTAATTTACATAAGGCATTAAATATTAAAAATCCTATTAAAGACAATGAATTTGACTATATACAAGAGTATTTAATGTGTACTACACCAGTTGCAGAAGCACTGAATATAATGCAAAGTGAAAATAATACGTATTACGGTATTGTTCTACCATGTTTATTCGCATTAAGAAGAAAACTTAAAAAAATAGAGAAAAAAAAATTAACTTACTGCAAATCTCTTATCGAAACTTATATAGAAAGCGTTGAGAGAAGGTTTAACCAATTTTACAATTTGACTACGCCTGAATCAAAGAATGCTGCAATTGCTGCTATGTCTTATCCACGCTTTAAAAATAAGTGGTTATCTTGTGTGGAATCTATAAAACGAAACGAAGTTATAAATATGTTCAAAACAATTATATCAAAAGAAATTCATGAAAAACCAGAAACAGCAGTAACTCATGCTACCAAAAATACAAAAAAGGAAAATAAATTTTTCATCTTTGATTCAGATTCAGATTCTGAAATGCAATCTAATCGATCTTCGGGTTTCCCACAGACGAAAGCTGAATTACTAATGTTACATTTTTTTGCAGAGGAAAGCCAAGAATTAGAAATACTTAATAGATATCTGGAAATAAAGAATGTCTTTATCAAATATAACACTGCTTTACCATCTTCTGCACCAGTTGAGAGATTATTCTCATACGCAACCATGACTGATCTTCCAAAGAGTCACAAGTTATCAGACCAAATGTTTGAGAAGAGAGTTATTTTAAAAGCTAATCTCAATTATAAAAAACATTAGTCTTCGTTTTACTTTTACTAAATGTTAAATACATGTAGTAATGTAATATGTTAAATATGTGTATTAATTATTATAAGGTTTATTTTTCAATTATTTACTAATCACATTGCCTCAATAAAAAATTACATATCAGAATTATTATATGCTATTTTATTAAAATTTACCTATTTTCCTCTTTCTTCCTTTGTTAACTTATTCTATAAAAAAATTGCAAGGACATACAAACAACCAGTCAGAATTAATTAGTCTTTAAAATAAATATCATATTAAATCATCATCACGATAAAAATCAATTGTTAATTGCATTGACAATTAAAATTACTAAACAATTAAATAATTAGTTTTAATTGTAATTTGGAATTAAAAAGTTAGTTGTAATTAAATTTAGTCATAACCTGCAATTAAAAGATTAGTTGTAATTAAATTTAGTCATACCTGCAATTAAAAGATTAGTTGCAATTAAATTTAATTGCAATTGATATTCTACAATTAAATATTTAGTTAATTGATTAATTGATTGAATATTTAATTGATTGATGCCCAACACTGGTACGAGGGGACGGTAGCTCGCCGCCCCTCCATACACGCGCCCGGACTGCCGGTTTCAACGCCCTGATAGGCTCCAGTCAGACGAACGGGAGCGGTTTTCCCACATTAAACATGCCACTTCCTGCGGACTTTGCCAGTAAACTGGGCTTACGGTCCCGCGTAGTCCATGGCAGAGGTCAGGTACAGACGTCACCGCTCGTCCCCGGTCGGGGGGTTTACTACTCCCCCCTTGGTTAGTCTCAGGGAAATATCCACCGGCAGCCGACCGCGGCCCATTCACACACCACACACACAACCGATCCTCCGCCCTCCACGCCCAGCCCCGTACGCCAGGCCGCACGCCCCAGCAGCGGGACGTCGGCCCCAGACGCAGGGACTGACCGCTTCATCAACGGAGGATCGGGTGTTGGCCGGCAGGTTTGCCGACCAACTCCTCGGACCACCGGGCCCCGCCTGGGAATAAGTCCCAGCGGCCCCGGCGGTCCCCAGGCGATCGGGCCCCGCCTCGGAAACGTCCGAGCGGCCCCGATCCCCGTCTATCTTCCGGCCCACTCCGCGGATCCTGGGTACCAGTTTACCGCGGAGGTCC